AAAGGTGTTAATAAACAGGCTAACTAGGACAGAATAAAAGAGGTTTTTCAAAGACCAGATAAAAATCCAACAATGTTTCTAAGTCACCTCTCTAAAACATTGCAGCAGTTTACTAATATTGGTTTAAACTCTGTAGAGGAACAAACTCTTTTGGCTATGTATTTTATCTCCCAGTCAGCACCAGGTATTAGGCACAAACTCCAAAAATTAGAAAAGGGCCCACAAACCCCTCAATTAGAACTATTGGACACAGGCTTTAAAATCTTTAACAACCAAAAGGAGGAAGAAATACAGGATCACCAACATAAGCGGAAAGCACTTCAGCTTTTATCTACCACTTTAACAAAAAAAGCCACCACTGATAATCTTCCACCCCAGATGGTCAATAGCAGAAGGGGTACACAGCCCACTTCCCAGGTTTGTTTCCTATGCTGTCAAAATGGGCATATGGCCAAAGACTGTCAAGCCCTGCCCACCAGCAAAACCCTGTCCCAAATGCAAACAGCATGGACATTGGGCTCATGATTGCCTCATCCACCCAGAAGGAAGAGAACACATGGCCCAGAGGCTTGCTGCAATTAAGGGACACCAGGCATCTTACACGATCTCAAAAGGGGATCTCTTGGGCTTGCTCCAGTCAGATTGACTCGCCCCTAACTTGGTAGTCCTAATGTCTTCAGGACAAACCATTAAACCAACCGAGCCTAGGGTGGAAATATCAGTAGCTGATGGGGTAATATCATTTGTTATTAATACGGGGGCTACATGCTCAGATCTACTTACATTTCCTGATCCACTCCTTCCTTCACCCCTTTTGGTTGTGGGGGCACAGGGTATTATATCCAGGCCCCCCCACTATGCCATTACTTCCATGTATTCTGGGAGATAAAGTATTTCAACACTCTTTCCTTGTTATGCCAATGTGTCCAGCTCCATTATTGGGAAGGGACATTATGACAAAAATTAAAACTCACACCACTGTACTTTTTGGGTGCCTTTTATATAGCTTTGGATTTCCCTAATAGTTCCACATTTGATCATATCTAAGCCCTTTCACTACATGTAAACTTATTGCTTTGGTTAGCGCTCTGAGGTTAGGAAAAATGTAAAGAAAATTGTTAGTATAAGGTATGTTTTCAGTAAGAAAGGATAAAGAAAAGATAAATAACTGTATAGGAAAGAATCTTGTATGGTACATTTTGTTCTATAATAGAATGGCTGGTTAAAGA